GATGCTGAAGGTGATCTGGAAATACAGCCCGGTTTCTGTGTCGCTGTTCTCCATCGAGACCACCACGTGCACTGAATTCTTCTCCTCCACCACCACCGTGCCCACGGTGATGTTCTTCAGCCCGGAGTCCGCAACCGCCACGGTGATGGCCTTTTCCAGATCCAGGCTACCAACCGCGATTTCTGTGCCGTTGCTGCTCTGAAACTCCATGGAGGCCACTTCGGAGGAGACACTGTGGTTGGCGATGTAGCCAAAGGGAAATGGGTTGTAATCAACATGGAAGATGACCTGGACGACGTCCGTCAGGTCAGAGAAGGTGGCTCTGAAGGCCTGGGGGATGGAGAACTGGCAGCTCGGGGTGTCCCCGTAGCAGAGCAGGGCATGGGGGTCAGCTCGTTTCCCTCTGGCCGTGATGTTACTCCCAGCCAACTCCAAGGGCTCCTCGTTGAGCACCCGTGACTTCATTAGGATGCGCATCAAGTCAGTGGACAAGGCGTAGGCTTTGGAGGCCACCTGCACCCGATTCTGAGCACTGTAGAGCTCCTGTCGCTCTGACTCCTGGGAAACGGCGTTGACGACGTGGATCAAGTCTCCTGCAAAACAGCCCGCCAAAATCAGGGCCAGAAGCCTGGATGGTATGCAAAGTCCCCCCCTCCACTCCAGCCACTGCCTGCCACGGCTGCTCCCCACTCGTCGGAGGGCTTGTGGGAACCGAGGTGCAGAAGCACCGCTGCCCCTCCACACTGGGCCTGAAGGGGGGATGCACCGAATTCTGCAGGGGTGGACAGTTAGTATCGTGTAATCGAAGCGCCGTCTGTTTCTTTTGTCACAACGGCTTTGTTGACCATCCCCTTTGACCTCTCGTGTCACTATCAGCCATGAAGAGCCACAACAGCTCTTGGCGTTTTATCATCGCACAAGCTCACATTTTTGACACGCTGAAAGTGCAACTACCAGCCAGCTATGCAAAGGCCAGCTGTGCCTATGAAAATGCAAATGCTCTCTCGACAGGTCCAAGTTTCCGTTCAGCAGGCCATCTAAAGAAGTGCTGTCTTTCTCCATTTTGCTCAATTATACATAAAAAAAATAAACATACAACTAATTCATGGACATCTTTGTTTTCGCTTGGTTTCGGGCTGCCTGCTTAACATGCATTTCCTTACAATGACTAGAAACAAGCCGTTTCCTCCAGAGAAAGGGGAAGGGGAGCAGGGGATCAAAAAGACAAGATGGCGGCCATAATCACATGTCCCTGACCTGCAGCTGCCATTTTGTCTTTGTGGCTGCATTGCAAAGGCATCGGCCTGTACCAGATATCCAACTCCCCGTGCTGAGGGCGAGCTGTGACAGCCACGCATTCCAGCCCTGCTCCTCCTGGTAGCGCATCCCTCCAACCCGGAGGGCGATGCCCAGTAGCAGACAAGCCGCCTACTTCCTCCTCAGCTGGGCTGAACCGCCATCACTGTTCCCGCCTTCCCCTGGGGGGACTCACCCATAATGTCGAGGATGTTGTCAGCGATGGCTTTGGGGGTCATGGTTCCTTGGAGGGTCTCTCCTTGAAGAATGCTCATCATAGTTTCAAGCTTTCTCAAAGTCTTTGTCAGGCAGGATCGACAGACCAGTTCCTTACTGGCCATCTGCGAACCCAAAGCACAGGGGAAGCAAGTCAGGACGCAAAGTTTCTGGTCCTCATGGTGGCTGAGTGCCTTCACCACTAGACCAAACCTGCTCTCCTTTAAAATACATCCGTGTTCATTTAGAAAAGACAAGAAAGGAAGAGAGAAAATAGGAGGCAGGAAGGGATGCTAAGGAGGAGGAGATCACCTAAGACAGGGGTGGGGAAGGATGGCCCCTTTACCACTCGTGGACTTCAACTCCCAGGATTCCTATTCCTGGCTCAGGAACTCTGGGAGTTGAAGTCCACAAGTCATAAAGGGGCCATCCTTCCCCACCTCTGGTCTGAGACCTTCTGCCCACTCTCTGTTTCTACTGTCACCCCCTTTTAAACCAGGGAAGCTCACAGCCACCCTTCCCACGTGATCCACAACATATTGTGTGAAGCAGAATCAAGCCAGGCCTAAGTCTAGGCACCCCCGTCCCTCCCAGCCCCATCTGCCTTCTTCATCTGCCCAAAATGCCTACCATACACTGGGCCAGCGCAGCCACAATCTGCCGGATGTCGTCCACCGTGTTGACGTTCAAGGAGGTCAAGGTTTCAGTAACGTTCTTCCGGATCCAGATCTGGAGCGGGGCATCGGGCTCAGCTTCCAGCTTTGGATACACAGAAGATTCGTGCTTTGGGTGGGGAGGACAGAAAATGAATATAGGTAGTCCTTAGCTTACAACAGTTCATTTAGTGACCGTTCAAAGTTACAACATCACTGAAAAAAGTGACTTATGACCATTTTTCACACAACCATTGCAGCATCCCAACTGGTCACATGATCAAAATTTGGCTGCTTGGCAATTGGTTCATAGTTTTGACAGTTGCATAGTGATCCCGTTTTGCCACCTTCTGACAAGCAAAGTCAATAGGGAAGCCAGATTCATTTAACAACCATGTTACTAACTTAACCGCAGTGATTCACTTAGCAACTGTTTCACATAATTTTTGGGCTCAACTGTGGTCGTAAGCCAAGGACTGCCGGTAGTCAGCTTCTATCAGGCCGTGAGGGAGGCAGGTCAGGATACAGGCCTTGCAAGGACGCAGTTTGCAAGAAGAGAAGCTTGAAGGCCGCCTGGGGTTTCCCTTCCACCCAACAAGGCAGGGCGGGCTGCGTTTCGCTGGTCTACTAGTTCCATCACTTTATCGAAGAATGAGATGAGATTGGTCTGGCATGATCTGTTTTTAACTAACCCGTGCTGGCTGCTAGTTATGATTTTGTTTGCTTCTAGTTGTTTGCAGATTTGTTTTTTGATTATCTTTTCTAGGATCTTCCCAGGTATTGATGTTAAACTGTCTGGTCTGTAGTTTCCTGGGTCTGTTTTTTTTTTTTCCTTTCTTGAAGATGGGAACTACATCAGCCCTTTTCCAGTCCTTGGGTACTTCCCCTGTGCTCCAGGATTTATGAAAGATGTGGTTCTGAGATAACATCTGCCAGCTCTTTCAGAACTCTGGGATGTAATCTGTCAGGTCCTGGTGATTTATATTCGTCAAGGTTGGATAGGTGTTCTCTTACCATTTTCTTACTTATTATTTTAATTTTTGTTTCTAGTATGCCTTTTGCAGTGGGTTTTTTTTGGGGGGGGGGTTCTTGGGCTATGGTTTCTTTTTGTGTGAAGACTGATGCAAAGTATGAGTTAAGCAGCTCAGCTTTCTCCCTGTTGCCTGTAATTTCCTTGCCATCTTCTCTCTTTAGTGGGCCTACAGTTTCCTTGACTTTTTTCTTGTTGTTAATGTGTTGGAAGAAACTTTTTTTATTGTCCTTGATTTCTGTTGCAAGTCTTTGTTCATTCTGAGCCTTCACTTTCCTTACTTCTTCTTTCCATGTTGAAGTCCACATATCTTTATGTGGCCAAGTTGAAAAACGCAGCTTGATGGATTCTTGGGAAGCTGCAGATTCTGCCTTCTGGCTATGAATATTATCTCCAATGGAAACACTTCTAATAAGGAAATTAATGCAGTGCAAATAAGCTAATTTCACCACTAGCTCTTAGCTCCATAGTGTGACCTGCCTAAGACATCACAGACAGAGCATCCGTGGGGGTGGGATGGGGTCGAAAACTTCAGGATAGCAGCTGCAACCATACATTTTTAGACACCATTTTGACCAAACTGACCCTAATTCTTCTGATTCCCCCATTCCATTGCTTTTGTAAAAGAACAGAGGAGGACCTAAGCCTGTCTCCCTCCTTCTGTTTGTGTCACTTCTGCGTGTGTCTTTCCAAGACTGTGAGATTTTCTGGCAAAGTATTAGGCAAGTTAGTTTAATTTTTAACTTCACAAAAGACACCAGCATTCTCTCACATAAATTCATACCTCGTTTAAGATGGTGATGAGAGCCAGTGAATACTCAATAACAGGTTGGGGGTCACTCTGTTTGACCAGGCCTTGCAGTATCACCTCTGTCTTGTTGTAAAGCCACTGGGGAAGACTGTGGAATCCCTCTGGCGTCCTGGGCAAGGTGATGACCACAGACCTGGACAGAAAAACAGCAATGACTGTCGCATAAAATGCTCTGCACCTGATAAATTAACTATGTTCCTAATATGGTAGTTTTCTGTGTGCAGAGGGCTTGTCTTTTAAATACGAAAGAGCATTACAACAACCAATTGGCAAGGATACAGTACAGTTCAGCAAAAAGGACGCAGCACAAGTGAAGATACAATTACTAGGATGTTGACAAACATGAAAAGTCTCACTTCTCCAATTCAGCGTCAGTTTCATCAGTTGCCAAACTGTTTCCAGGCTCAGTATAAAATAGGGAGTACAATTTTTAAAGTTCTAAACAATATGGGACAAGGTATTCAGGCTGTTGTCTATCTTCCTACAAGCTACTCAATCCTGAGTATTAGTCTCTCTCTTTTTCTCTCCCGGAAAAGTCTTTGTGCCACCAGAAATGCAGCCTTACCTGGGGCCCTGCAACATGGAACTGCCTTTTCCGAGGACAACATCTAAGCTTTGGTCTTCCTTACATTTATTGTTACACCTGATTTCTAGGTTAGCTTTACATTCTTGATTTTCCTTGGCAATTATTTCTTTATTAGTCTGTTTATCCATGAAACTGATATCCTGCAATGGTCTTTTCTTCAAATCTCAAATCCTAAAGGACTGAGCACCCACTACCCTCTGCACCTCAGGCTTGCTGATTAGGTCCACATACTTGGATGCCTGATTTAATCAGTTTCCAAATACCTATCCAGAGGGGATGCAGTGGCACAGTGGCTTAATGACATGGAACAGCGGGCCAGAAATGGTCTGCAGTCTGGTGGTTTGAGTCTGGCTCCGTGAGATGGGGTGAGCTCCCGTCACTCACTCCCTGGCTCCTGCCCTCTCAGAAGTTCGAAAGCATGCAGTATTACGAGTAGATAAATGGGTATCACTTTGGTAGACAAAACCTAGCTGTGTTTGTGTGTTCAGAGAGCAGAAGCAGGACGTGAGGCAACACAACGCAACAAGAGGCGAGGCGAGATGAGACCTGCAGAGGAGACCGAAAGTGCCAGCAACCATCAGCTGGTTGTCAGCTGATGTAAGCTAGTTCGCCTCCTGCGGTGCATCACAGATAAGCATGCAAGCGCCAAACGGAATGAACTAGCAATTTAGGTTGTCAGGACTGCATTGTGCCTAGCATTTGTAGATTTCCCTGACATTCTATGCCAGTGATGGCGAACCTTTTAGAGACCGAGTGCCCAAACTGCAACCCAAAACCCACTTATGCATCGTTGGGTGCCGGGTGGGCATGGCCCATTGGGTGGGTGTGGCCATCTGGGTGGGCGTGGCCCATTGGGTGAGCATGGCCACGGTGGTAACGGCAGACTGGGTGGGACTAAAAAGTTCAATCAATCAATTCCAACTTTGCGAGATCTTTTTTTCCCCCGTGAGAAGTTGAAATTGATTGATTGATTGAAACTTTTTTTTTTTTGCACACAGCGGCAGAGGCCTAAAGCGAAAAGGTTTTATAAAACCCAGCTGAACGCCTAGGACTCAGGCAACAGCGCGCGTGCCCATAGAGAGGGCTCTGCGTGCCATCTGTGGCACACATGCCATAGGTTCGCCACTACGGTATGCCATATGATCGATTGATCAATCGATCAATCACCTATCTAGAAATTGCTCTGAGAAAAATGCAGACCAAGAGATGCTGAGAATGCAAGTGCCAAGTGGGAGACAGGAACAACTGGGAGGATAAATGGTTCAAGAGCTGTATTCCCATTCATCACCACACAGCTCTCCTTCGCAATGTGGACAGCACACTGGATTCTTTCTTGAAACAAATATACTGCACTGCACTCTTATCACTGATTTATAACCTCGGAACGTATTGATTTCCTAGGCTAACAAAGTGGCACTTCGTATCAAAAGAGTGGTACATCAAGATGAACAAGAAATGGTTCTTCCTGGGCTTCCAACTTTTGCTCATGGAGCACAATGGCAGCCTAGGTAATGGCAAGGCAACGGGAGGGGGGGAGGTGTCCTCCTGGGTGAGGCACCCCAGTAGCAGTGTGCAAGACCACAAGTAGAGCATCCAGTAAACAGCACATGATCTTCTAGGTTTCACTATATGGGAGGTGTGGCCAGCAAAACCCAGCAAGATTATCCATCTGTCAGCTTTGCACATTCATAACTCTAGTGTTTTGGGGGCCTAGCTCAAATTTCTTTCTGCAAATATGCACCGATTAGTAGCAATACTAGTACACTTCCAAGCATCAAACACACACCCTTAAGAGATTGCTTTTGTCTGATTTTGTCTGCAAGTTAAGCTTACTTGTTTCCAGTCAGCTTTATAATACCTACAGAAACCACCCGGCTTCATTTCCTCCACAGATACTCACTTTCCCACGTGGCATCCCACCGTCCCTCGTGTTTCAAAAGTACTGTCCTCAACACTGCATCAAAGTCATCAGTGCCCCATGTGTGGTGTCAGATCTGCCATCACACAGCTTCGACTAGGCTTTGCTTTGATGGCATCCTGCCATAAATGTGGGGAGGGGAGAAAAGGATGTGGGGAGGGGGATGACAGGAGCCAGAAGTGCCAATCAGAGACTATGGCTGAGTGATCCAAAGACACAGACACGAAAACGGAATGTGAACGTCCACCAAAGAGGCACCAAACCTGGGAACTGCTATCAAAACAACAAATCTGAACACTAGCAAGATGACGGGGGGGGGGGAGGAGGGCCTGGGAGTAGGGAAAACTTATCTGCTTTGTGTGGGAATATTCAGATCTGGCTTTTCTTACGCTGTAACCACCTGGGTTTAGTAAAAGTATACCTTTCACTACAAATGGAATTGAGGGTCCTTTTTTTCCAAATGCCAAAGCTGGGACAGGCCTGACATATGGCTATAAAAAGTGGTGAACGTATGTTGGGCATAATTTACTCTTACTTAGGCAGAGGAAAAAGAAATGGAATATTTTTTCTAATCTCAGACTCTGGAAATTTTATCATCATGGTACACCTTAACACTATCCAAGTTTCTGAGATTTCAGCAGGCACTAGACACAAACATTAGAATCCTAGTGACTAGCATAGTCGTTTGCAAACTGCATGCTAGTTTGCTTCTAGTTAAAAGAAACACCCAGAAAGGTTGAAACATTTGAAATATATCTTTATAATGAAGGGACATCTTATCATATGTGTTGGTCATGTAAAGAATTCAAAAAGCACTGGAAAGGAATAAACAGCTTTATTCAGAAAAAAATAAAAACAAAATTTGAATTTAAGCTTCTGTTTTTCTTCTATTAGGAATCTTTCTAAATAAATAAATAAAAGTGTCACAATTTATTAAGAAATATGCTGATAGCTGCAAGGACGAATTTGCCCCGGTGTTGGAAAAGAGATACTTTGCTGACCGAAGTTGGAGAATATGCCAGGGTGGCAAAATTAACAATACTGTACTATATATATCCAGAACAGAAGCTGGGTTGAATTTAAGCAAGATTGGCTTTTCTCCCCGCAACACAACACAGGGAAACTTAGATTCTTAGAATATGTTTTTAAAGGGGAAATATTTGATATAAAGATAATAACCAGAAATGAATGTAGTATTTATAAATACTTTCACAAGTTGGGTATAACAGGAAGGAATGTGGAACTTAATATTGCTTTTACTGTTTTTAGTATTTTTTAACTTTTTCTTCTTTTTATAAGAACATGCATTTATTTTAGGTAAATATATCAGCCTCCACATCACACCAATTATCATCACATCAATTATCACGGTTTAGAATTTTGTAGTGATGAGTCATTTTTCAAGAAGATACGATGATTTTAATTTTATATATTCAATTAATCATTTAACCGATGAGATAAGAAATTCTAAATTTTGTAGCAATGGTAACTTCTCTACTTATTAGTTTGTTATTCTTCCAGACACTGTAACTCATTTCATTTTCTTCTTTTTTTCCTTTTATGTTGTCATTTATTTTATTCTTCAAAGATTTTAAACTAGATGTAGATACACACATGTGCACCTTTAATAGTGCTGGGATGGGAGAACACCAGGAAATTCTAGAGCTGTAGGAACTCTCCCCCCCCCTCCCCGCTCCCCAGGTTTTGGCCAAGAAGGCTAAAGAGGTCTGTCCATGAGGCCATCAAAAGCCGCATTTACCTGCAGTCCCAGGATCGGTTTTCAAGACCAAGCTGAATGGGCAACGAATCCTCCCAATGCGTCCTTCGTCCTGTATTTCTCATGCCCCTTGCAGTCCTTTCAGGGAACGAATTGTGGGCCAGAATGTGTGGGCCCAGGAGAGCACCCCTGAAGGCCACCCTTGCCTTTCTGGCCTGGCCCTGGGGCCCCTTGATCCAAGGGCTGGATGCAACCCCCGATGCTGCCATTCTATTCTATTCTATTCTATTCTATTCTATTCTATTCTATTCTATTCTATTCTGATGTTCTGTCCCCCGTCCGACTCACACACCCCAACCAGTCAGCCGAGGGCTGAAAAACTGCTCAGCACAGCCAAATACAAATGAACACTTGGCAGCAACTTCGTGGCTGCCTGCCAAAGCCTTTACTGATAATACAAAACAAAACATACGATAAGTCCAGGATAAATTGCCGGAGTGCTGCAACAGGAGATTCAGCAAAATTGTCCGTCACAAGAGTTTCACACGAC